GGAGATGGGGTCTGGCTCTGTTGCCCAGGCTGGTCTAGAACTCCTGGGTTCAGCAATCCTGTCCACTCAGCCTCCCAAAGTGCTGGGATGGCAGGTGTGCGCCTCTGTGCCCAGCAAGCCTGGCACATGAGACGGGTGAATGAAGGAGGGAGGGAAGTGGGATGCATCCTGAGACCTGGCATACTGGAAGTCTTTTTTTTTTTTTTTTTTTTTTTTTTTGAGACGGAGTTTTGCTCTTGTCACCCAGGCTAGAGTGCAATGGCGCGATCTCGGCTCACTGCAACCTCCGCCTCCTGGGTTCAGGCAATTCTCCTGCCTCAGCCTCCTGAGTAGCTGGGATGACAGGCACGCGCCACCATGCCCAGCTGATTTTTGTATTTTTAGTAGAGACGGGGTTTCACCATGTTGACCAGGATGGTCTCGATCTCTTGACCTCCTGATCCACCCGCCTCGGCCTCCCGAAGTGCTGGGATTACAGGCTTGAGCCACCGCGCCCGGCCAACCGGAAGTCTTTGATGAACCATCGGGAGTGGCCTGGGCGAATCTCATGTCTCTCTGAGCCTCAGTGTCCCCATGTGGTCCTGCAAGGGGCTTTGAGTGTTTGGGGCCCTGGGATGCTAGAGACACTATTCATGTCTGGAGGGCTTGACGGGGAATCGGCAGGCACACCTCGGGGCCCCTGTGGGCAACAAGGACCCCAACCCCCACACTGACCACAGCCGCAGTCCAGGAAGGCGGCATCCAGGGCCAGGGCTGAGGAAACTCAGGTGCAGGCTGGCCCTGGGGGCTCCCCGGCTTCCATTCATGTCTCCTTTGAAGCAATTCTCCTGCCTCAGCGCCCCAAATGGCTGGCACTACAGGTGTATGCCACCACGCCTGGCTACATTTTGTAGTTTTAGGAGAGATGGGGTTCACCATGTTGACCGGGATGGTCTCAATCTCTTGACCTAGTGATCTGCCCACGGCCTTTTTTTTTTTTTTTCCTTGTGAGACAGAGTCTCGCTCTGGCACCCAGACTATAGTGCAGTGGCATGATCTTGGCTCACTGCAACCTCCACTGCCTGGGTTCAAGCAGTTCTCCTGCCTCAGCCTCCCAAGTAGCCGGGACTACAGGCACGTGCCACCACGCCCGGCTAATTTTCTGCATTTTAGTAGAGACTGAGTTTGACCATGTTGGCAGGATGGTCTCCATCTCCTGACCTCGTGATCCATCTGCCTCAGCCTCCCAAAGTGCTGGGATTACAGGCATAAGCCACCACGCCCAGTTTTTTTGTTGTTGTTTTTTGTTTTTTTTTGGGATGGAGTCTGGCTATGTCACCCAGGCTGGAGTGCAGTGGCGAATTCTCAGCTCACCGCAACCTCTGCCTCCCAGGTTCAACCGATTCTCCTGCCTCAGCCTCCTGAGTAGCTGGGAATACAGGCATGGACCACCACCACACCTGGCTAATTTTTTTTTTTTTTTCTTTTTGTATTTTTAGTAGAGACGGGGTTTCACCGTGTTGGTCAGGATGATCTCGATCTCCTGACCTCATGATCCACCCGCCTCAGCCTCCCAAAGTGCTGGGATTACAGGCGTGAGCCACCGCGCCCGGCCATCCCTTGCATGACTCTTAAACATCTTCAAGACTGGGCCTGTGCTCAGGGACCCTGATGCTTTTGTGATGGGGCTGCCTGGCAGGTGTGGGAGGAGGAAGCTTTGCTCAGCCTAGGCAGCTCCCAGAGACCTCGCAGCTCAGCCAGGCTGGCACGAGATGGGCAGTGGTCAGGTCCCCTGGGGCATGAGGTCCCCCCGAGCCCTAGCAAAGCCACAGGAGGAACAGGGGGTGTGCAGGTGCGAGGTCGCGTCTTGTAACTGCTTCCTCCCTGCTGTGTGGCTGTGAACGCATTGCTGGCCCTCTCTGGGTCTCCGCCTCCCCGTGTAAACAGGCTGAATCACCCTGGCTTCTCCCGGGGCATGGACTGGATGCCCTCGGTGTGCCAGCGTCCTCTACAGCAAGGACTCTTACTCAGGGAGGTTCTGCCCCGCAGGGGACGCTGGGCCGTGTCCAGGGACGCTTGTGGCTGTCACGACCGGGAAGGGGGTGCTCCTGGCTCGGCATGGGTGGAGGCCAGGATGCTGTCAGCACCCTGCAGTGCCCAGGACAGAGACTCGCCCACACAAGATGTCCTCGGGGCCAAAAAGAGAGGCCTGCATTCATTATTACCAAAAAAAAAAAAAACCAGCCACAACCTAATCTGTCCCCTCCTCACCCAAAACACCAAGATAAACTCCCGATGAGGCTGACGGTGTAAACCAGGGGGGTCCCCAGCTCCTGGGACTCACCTTCTCTCTCCCTCCCCACTCAGGGTGTGGATTTCTTTTTATTTATTTATTTTCTTTGAGACGAAGTTTTGCTCTTGTTGCCCAGGCTGGAGCGCAACGGCACGATCTCGGCTCACTGCAACCTCTGCCTCCCAGGTTCAAGTGATCCTCCTGCCTCAGCCTCCTGAGTAGCTGGGATCACAGGCACCCGCCACCACGCCCGGCTAATTTTTGTATTTTTAACAGAGACGGGATTTCACCACGTTGGTCAGGCTGGTCTCAAACTCCTGACGTCAGGTGATCAGCCCACCTCGGCCTCCCAAAGTGTTGCGATTACAGGTGTGAGCCGCCTCGCTCAGCCCTGGCTGTGGATTTCAATGAGTGCAGCCTCCCGGGACCCCAGAGAATCATGGGGGAGTCTGTGGAATCTCTTAACCCGGGAGGGGATCTGAGGCAGGGTGATTCTGCTCCCAGGGGACATTTGGTAAATGTCTGGGGACATCTTTGGATGTCTCGACAGGGGGTGCCCCTGGCATAGAATGGGTGGAGGCCAGGGCCAGTGCTCAGCACCCCGAAGTGTCCAGGATGGCCCCACTCCAGAGAATGACCTGGCCCCGACGTTCACAGAGCCCAGGAGATGCGGGTTTGCGGGGGCTGGCCTGATCCCCCCCCCAACCCTAGTTCCATTCTGCACCGAGGGTACCGCGGCCAGAACAGGAGGAGAGAGGTGAATACCGGGGCAAGCTGGAGGGCTGTTTGGGGTGGGAGACATGGGCCGGCAGTGGGAGGAGGCACGGATCCAGGGAGGACTCCGGCCTGCGGGACAGAAAGGGTGGAGCTGGGCTCACTCTGTCGCCCAGGCTGGAGGGCAGTGGCACAATCTCGGCTCACTGCAACCTCCGATTCCTGGGTTCAAGTGATTCTCCTGCCTCAGCCTCCCAAGGAGCTGGGATCACAGGCAGGCACACGCCGCCACGCCCGGCTAGTTTTTGTATTTTTAATAGAGACGGGATTTTGCCATGTTGGCCAGGCTGATCTCGAACTCCTGACCTCAGGTGATCCGCCTGCCTTGGCCTCCCAAAGTGCTGGGATGACGGGTGTGAGCCGCCGCTCCCAGCCTTAATACATTTTACGTATTAGCCAGGCCTGGTGTTGAACAGCTGCAGTTCCAGTTTCTCCGGAGGCTGAGGCAGGAGGATCGCTTGAGCCTAGGAAGTCCAGGCTGTGGTGACCTCTGATTGAAAGCCACTCACGGCACTCCAGCCTGGGCAACAGAGTGAGACCCTGTCTCAAAGAAAGAAAAAAAAGCAGTGGGGGCTCCTGGCCTTCTAACCCCATCCTACCTACGGCCCAGGGCTCCAGGATGAGGGAACCGACCCAGAAAGGGTCACCCCCTGCTCAGAGCACCCAGCCCTTCGTCACCCAAGAGTTGCAGGAGTTGAGGGGGTTCTCTGACATCTTGAAGACCCCCACAGCCCTCCCCCAAAGAGACACCCCGCTGGAGGAGACCAGAGAGGCCAGTGAGATTCATTGAGGGCGCACAGTGAGGAGATGGGGGTCCTGCAGAGAGAATCGAATGTCCCACCATCCCCTCTCCAGGAACCAGTTCTTCCTCCCAAGTTGGGGGGCACTAGACCCTCAGGGGACATGTCAGAAGCCTCAGTCCAGCTGCCAGATCCCCCTCCCACCTCCCCGCAGCACCCTGCGGAGGAAGTGATGGGGCTAGGCTGTTGTGGAGGGAGGTAGGGTTGAAAAACTAGGTCACAGCTTGAGTGGCCCCTGCTGGGCGAGAGGGATCAGCTGTCCTCTTATCCCAGGAGTAATTATAGAGCCAGAGCTTGCAGGGCGCCCCGCAGGGCTCTTGTGCCTGTGCCGTGACAGCCGAGGTCCAGAGAGGGTAGGTTTCTCCGAGGAGGTCACACAGCGCATCCGGACTGAGGCCTCCTGCTGGCACCTCCGCCACTGGATCAGTGTGGCTGTGACCGAGTCATTCCTGACCTATCATCTTCCCAGGAAACTTCCTGATTTCGCCCTTATCTGTGCTCTGTGGGAAGTGCTTTTAAAAAAATTCTTGGCCAGGCGCAGCGGCTCACGCCTGTCATCCCAGCACTTCTGGCCCCCCCCCCCCACCCTTTGGGAATTGGTGTTCTTCCTACGATAGGCCTCCGAGGCATGTGGATCACCCTTTTTCCCACTGAGGTCAGAGTTTACGTTCTCGAGAACGCCCTGACCATATGGTCGAAACCACGCCTCTATAAAATGTATGAAAAAATTAGCTGAGTGCCGCCCTCTTTGGCTCGGACTGCGATGGCCTCAAGCTATGTACGGAATCCCAGCACTTTGGTACATTAGAGGGGACTTGAGGCTGGGACGGGAGTCACATTGAGCTCCGTTCTTTGGTCTGACGATGATCGAGTATCTGAGGACCATCCTTCGGTCACACCAACATTCGCCCCGTCGAAAACCCGTCCCGTTCTCTACTATTTCTGAAAATACAAAAATTTAGTCTGTCTGGGCACTTTAGGTAGGCACGTGCCTTCTGTAATTCCAGATACTTCATGGACGGCTGAGGCAGCTAAAAGATATTTGCTTGAACCCACGCGACTGTTTTTGCATCATGCGGAGGTTTGCCCGGTCTTGTTGGCCCACCTCTATTGAACTTCCTGATTAGACGCTACCGCGT